CGGCGGTGGTGGATCTCTGAGCGACAGCCCTCCCGTCTCCCCTTCCAATAATGACGACGTAGGCGCTTCTTCCTCCATTTCCATCCCTTAAGTATCAGAGTGTAAAATTTTAAGGGTTAATTGCAGATAGACCCCTGCCAAATTGAACTTAATACCCCTATAGTTCTATTGTTGCAGCAGATCGTCTCTTTTTTTTGGACCCTTTTGGATCTATCTGCAACAATAAATTTTCAATCAGGGGGGTCTATCTACAACTATAAAATTATAGGATAGTAAGTTCAGTTGGCTATAGGCAATTAATCAAAATTATAATTCTCAATCCTCGCAAACTTGAATGACATCTTAACGATGTTTAAATGTGTGTTTAGTGGTATTTGAACATGAATTATCTCTGATACCATTTTAAACTCTTCCACTGCACTAAGAATGTAGCGTTATAGCACTGATCTCTTGTTGTTGAAATGTTTGCAGTCCTGCAGAGTGAACAACAGCAGAACACCCAACTACCGAGCAACCAACAACAAAACAGTCGGAAGATGGCTAAAGGAAAGGCGAGAGAAGAAAAAAGAAGAAACCCGGGCCCACAACGCCCAGCTTCACCGCTGCCATCTGGTGGCCGGAGTTGCAGCAGCAGTAGCTGCAATTGCCGCAGCCACTGCAGCACTGGCGTCGGCATCCTGCAAGGATGAGCGTGGCAGCCAAGACGACGTGGCCGTGGCGTCCGCGGCGACCCTTGTCGCCGCTCATGTGTCGAGGCAGCCGAGGCCCCTCGGAGCCGAGCGTGAGCACTTGGCCACAGTTGTAGGTTCGGCTGTTAGTGTTCGGAACCCTGGGGATGTTGTTACCCTCACTGCAGCAGCAGCTACAGGTATATGCAAATGCATTTACAACATCTTGTAGTTCTACGTCCTACCGCTGAACAGAACAGTAACTCCTTTAGGTTTAAGGTTAATTGTAGATAGATCCCTTGTAGATTGTTGTTTTGAACTTACTACAAATCTATTTTTGTATTAGCAGATGGACCTCCTCTTTTTTTCCCTTCCTCTTTGAAAAATAGATGCCCTGAGGATAAAAGAGTCAAAAAGTTTCACTTAAGGGGGATTATCTACAAAAAAAAAAACAAAAGAACTACGAGGGATAGTAAGTTCAAAACGGTGTTGCTAGGGGGGGTCTATTCCCAATTAGCCCTTATGTTTGATGCATTTGTCGACGCAAAGTTTCTGTTGAGTTTCAACGACATCTAACCAAACATGTGCTGGAATTAGGATGTAGCTGGAATCACGTAGGATCCAGCTAGTCGTATCCAAATGCAGACTTTAAATTTGAAAACTTGAACTACAATGATTCTCTTGGATTTCAGCTTTGCGAGGGGCAGCGACACTGAAAGCAAGAGTGCTGAAGGAAGTCTGGAACATTGCAGCAGTCATACCAGTGGAGAAAGGGTCAATGGAGGAGCGCAGCCAGCATCGCCACAGGCGCAACCATCAGCAGAGGAATCAAGAGAGAAAAGACGATGGGCCAAATGGCGATACCTTTGCTGAAGATAACTTCCTTGGGTTATGTACCCAAGAGCTTCTTGCTCGAGGAACCGAACTCCTTAAACGTACCAGAAAAGGTTTTTTACGTTCACCTACAAGTTAATCAGTTCAATTGGTATGTCAATCTTGAACTAACGGATTTTATCTGTTAAATTTAGGTGATCTTCACTGGAAGATAGTTTCGGTATACATACATCGAACAGGAGTTGTAAGTCTTGAGAATCCATAGACTCTGTTTCTATTTTCGTGTGATCTGATCTAATCATAAAACTGATAATATTTAGGTGATGCTCAAGATGAAGAGCAGACATGTTGCAGGAACAATCACCAAGAAAAAGAAATGTAAGCAAACAGGACTTATCGGTTAATGTTGCAGATCGGCCCCTGTGTGAAATTTTGACTCTTTTTATCCTCAAGAGACAAAAAAAAATTCACGTATAGAACTCTTGAGGGTAAAAGAGTCTAAAATTTCACTAAGAAAGGCTGTATGCGAGAATAGAACTACGAGGGTCTATCCGTAGTTGGGCAATAGTACAGGAGGCCTCCTAGCAATTTAGCCTTGTCTCGAGTCATGATGTCAGTTGAGACTCAAGGACTGATATTTTCGTGCAGGTGTTGTATCTGATATATGCAAGGATGTAATGGCTTGGCCAGGAAGGCACTTGCTTGAAGGAGGAGAAGATCGGCGTTATTTTGGGTTGAAGACTGCAGAGCAGAGAGTGATTGAGTTTGAATGTAGAAGCCAGAGAGAGTATGAGATGTGGACTCAAGGAGTATGTCGACTCCTTTTGATCGTTCGAGAGAGCAGACGTGGCCGCAGATAAATGGGAGAAAACTTGCGCTTTGGAAAGGAATCGCGTGCAATGTAAATTAGGTAAAAGAAAATGTGGTAGATGATGATATCAGAGCGTTATTATTCTTGGTATTGTTTTCTTCTCTAATGCTTTATTTTAATGGTTCTGGTTTGAAATGTGGACTCCTACGTTCTTTAGGGAAACTTTGGCTAATTTAAGGCCAATTAATCTTCACGCCGAGAGAAACTTAAACGGCAAAAAGACGCACAATTGAGGTTTCCTCAAGATCACTGTCAGTTGACGAGTCACAGATATTTGTGCACTACCAAATAGTTTTCTTCAACAAAAAAGGATGTAATATTACAATTCATAATTTGTGAGCTTAATCCTACAGTGTAACTCTGTACTGCATAGATCAACAACAGTTCAACATATGATGAAAGAAAAGGAAGGAACACTTCATAAGCAAAAGTTCAAGAAATAGCTCTGATTTAACTAGAAAATCATCTACCCTTTAAAAGAGGGAGTACTAGAAAAACTTTTCTTATCCTAAATTACTCTTCAATTATTATAAATATAACAAAGTTATCCTCATCTTTCATTTCATTAACTTAACAAAGATAATTTTTTTTCGTAACTCACAAATCAGAAGCTGTAAAGCTCTAAATCTTGGTTCATTTCCTTCTCCGTTCCATCTGTTACGAATTTACTCCGGCAAAACAGTCCTATTCTCTACCTCATCAATTGTCGATTATCAAATTGCAAAGATGATTAATATCGTCATCAAGAAGCTTATTATTGTCCTCATCATCCACAAACCTTCTCTTCCATCTTCTCCTCAAAGCCCCCGCCCCCCTTCCCCTCGCCACCCCCACCTCGCCTCTCTGCTGCCCTCCTTCTCTCTCTCTTGCTGCACGCCGTTGCCAACCCTCGTTGACGCTGTCTCCTGTCGCCCCGCCGCCCTCTCTCTCCCCAAAATTTCCCAGTTGTAGCAGGAGCAAGAAGCGGTCATCGATCATGGATCTGTCACATTCGAGCGGCGGCGATCATGGCGATAACTTCGTATTCGCGTTCAACTCCAATAATTTTTCGGATCACGTGCCGATGATCGATCGTGGAGGGAGAGCAAGTCCGCATGCGTGGAGGGTGCCAGTAGTTAGTCGCTGATTGGGGCTCGGTATCGGAAGAGGAGGAGGGAGGACATCAAGAAGGAGCAAGGTATGCTTGGTTCTTGAATTGGGTATCGATTTGGGGTTTTTTGATGGTGAGACGTGGTGATGTCATCAATTAGGGCGCAATTGATGTTTTATTGCATATTTTGGCAAATAAGGGCTGAAGAAATTAAGGTTTTTAGTGGCCTTTTAAGAGGAAACCTTGGCTGAAAACCTAGGATGAAGATTTGTATGTTGTACACATTGTATCTTTTGGTTTTTTTAACTGATTAAGTTTATATGATGTTTTTAGCTTCTGAATTTGATGCCTACAACTAGGACAACATAGTGAACTGTGACCAACCTGATGTTGATGACACTGTGGCATATGAAAGCCATGATGGGGAAGCTGTTGCAATGATTGAATCTCCAACAGGTGTGGTTGTTTGGTTGATTGAACTCATTGTTTTCATCAAATTCATATGTTTTAGATTTATAATATGGCTAGAACTTTCAATTATTTTCCCTATCGAGGTGTTAACTATATTATGCATTTAGTAATCTACTCAATTGCAAAAACTAATTGAGCATGTCATCTTAGACCTTATAATAGAGCCTATTTCATGCTAATGCGACTATTTCCCCATCCTCTAACTGAAGTTTCTATTTCACAGCAGGACTTTCTCTTTAGATGTTAACTTCTAGGATTAATTACATTTTTATACTTTGTTGTATAATGTAATTACACGAGTGATGCTGAGGCCTCATCCTCCATGATCGGATGCCCAGATTCGTCATCCGGCGAACACCTTCACATATTTCTTCTGATGGTTCATTCTGGTTATTACATTGGGCTGGTATCATTTTCAATTAGGCCAAGGATTTTGATGCATCACCAGACTCGGGTTGAAAACAAACCAGATAGTTAACAAACGGTATGCTAATTATTTGTCTAGATATTTGGTTATGTTCTATTGGATAGCTCATTAAATAATAAACAAGTAGATTATAGTACTTTGTTCATACATGATAGCAACTGATGTGTATTTGATTCAGTTGATTATTAAATATTCGTTTATGTTTTACATTTTAATATTATACATTTAAACTAGAGTTGTACTTCTCTTATATGGAAAGCTATTTACTATGACCATGCATTTATAATGCTGTACAAACTTATTACCTTTGGCATGTTATCCTGTCACTTGTTAGTTCATTTTCATTGTAAAGGAACCAAGACGCTTTGAGATATCGAACAATATCCTTGAGCTTCTATTTATCTTCCTTATAGTTTATAGGATTAGCGTAACATCCTTTTGTGTTTGCAACTTTCCGTGTAGAAACTATTATATCTGATGCTTATTCTCATGTACTATGCACTCTCTCTATACAGGTTGTTCCTGGCTTTGGTCATGGAGTCCTATGTAAAACGATCCAAGATACACATGCCAGAGGGAATTTGCATTGAAATATTTGCCAGATGATTCTCTCTTCCAGCTGGTTATTTTTTAACTTTGTCTTATATAATTTGATGCCACCTAAAATCTGTGTCAGCACATCTATTTTTAAATCATTATTTGTTGTAACATGTTCTGTGATTTATGATCCTTGCATTTTCAGCTTTCAAAATTGTATGAAGTTGTTTCTCCAATCCTTACAGAGCTTGGGAAGGTAACTTTCAGATGCTTTTAATTTCTTCGCTTTCATATTAGATTAATCTCAAGATTGAATCTATTGAAATATATACATATTATTGGGTGATTTCTACTATGGCTTTTAGCATATTATTCAAGTATTTTGAATTGTGCACGCATTCAGTTTTTAGCTTAAAAGTTTCTGTTCTTGTTGCCTTGTGGCTTCTGTTAATTTTGTTGGTTATATAGAATTCTATTGAACTGTCCTGACATCGAGAAATCTGATAAATCATATTTTTTAGGTGTTCTCTTAAACCTGACTGCTTTTGTCTTAAGGTCCTCCTCAAAATCTGATTTATATAATATGAAAGATATACAAGTTCATTGTGAAGTTGGATGAAAACTCAAAGGATGAATGTGCACAAGGAAAGATAATAGCACAAGAAATCCAAATCTAGGAAGACATCACAATCAATATTGACGACGATGACGCGGTTCTCGAATTACCAAAAAAGAAGATAAAAATGGAGAAGGAATGATCAAGGGACCAAAAAAATTTAACATGAACAATTTTTAATTTTCAATACATTTACAAATCTGTTGAAGGATTTTTAACAAATTTTTCATATGCTTTTAAGATGATAAACTGATGAATGCTATTTGTTAGGACAATTTATGAATTATAAGCATATGCACATATAGTTGTTTAACAACTATTGCATGCTTTGATAATTATGCAGTTATTAGCTTAAATTTATCATTCAATTACGTGAATCTAAATACATATTCATAGATTACTTGACTTTATTACTTTTAAAATATATATGAACTATTTTTTGTGATCTCGATTGCAAGCAAACTCTTGTTGATGAGTCATTTGCAAGAAGGAATTCATCTCATGGACATATCCTCTCAGATTCTATTCAACAGGGCAATAACACAGTTTAGTTTATGTGCCTTGAGGACGAATATTATTGCAGAAGCGCATGGGTACCTATCTAAATTTTATATAGGTGATAAGGTAAAGAAGCTGCTTGCGCAAGGTGTATCTCAAAATCTGTATCCTGAAAAAACTCCTAAGCAGGTATGTGCCACATTTATTGCTAAATTTTTTTAATCTAATCTAACATAACCGATTTATCATAATAACGCCTCTTCCTTAGTAATGATCACAAGAGCTTGTTCAAATGGTAATATCCTTTAGCACGCACGCATGCACGCACGCGTGTTCTTCAATCCATGCCTTCAGCACTTAAGAAGATATTATTTGATTTTTTTAAACGACTCTACTTCTGATCCTTCCGCAATAGTGATGGCAATATTTAATACTTTTCTTCTGGAAAATGTTAAGACAAAGCATCCACAATTGCTATATGGGTCAAAGCTGTACAGAATCCTGCAAAGAGGAAGTATGAATTTTTTTTAGCCTTTTGTTATGTTTGTTAGTTATCAGTGATATTTTTAAGTTGTGTTCTAATTTCTTGTCCTTTTTCTTTACTATGGCAGCTGGGATTCCAAATGTGAAGTGGTTTGGTGTTGAAGGAAACCATAATGTCGTTGTAATGGATTTACTGGGACCGGTCTTGAAGACCTTTTCAATTTCTGCAGTAGGAAGCTATCACTAATGGCTGTTCTTATGTTACCACCTCTATTTAGGTAAGATCTAATTCACATAATGAAGTTGGGATCATTGACAACATCTTTTCATACTTTTAAGGGGTGTTTGGCTATTATTTTGTTCATCCTTGTAAGAGTATTTTGAACACTTTGAGAGAAAGAGAGAGAGAGAGAGAGAGAGAGAGAGAGAGAGAGAGAGAGAGAGAGAGAGAGAGAGAGATAACCTTTGAAAGCTTGTAATCTTTGTCAATAATCAAAGAATTTCTGGTGTGGCACCCGAGGACGTAGGCACGTTTGCTGAACCTCGTTAAATCTGGTGCTCTCTCATTTTATTTGTTTTTTCTTGTAAAATTTTCATTTTGCTGTGATTTCTTGCTTGCTAATTGTTCATCAAAAAATCCGGAGGGCATGATTTGTCAATAGATTAACCCAACAACTGGTATCAGAGCTTCATTCGGAAAAGATCTGTGTGAGAGTTATGACAGAAGAAAGCAAATTGAAGATTGAGAAGTTTGACGGCTCAAAATTTGCCTACTGAAAGTCGCAGATGGAAGACTATTTGTACCAGAATGATCTTTACCGTCCATTGATGGGAAAAGTAAAGTGAAAGGAGGAGACAGACGAGGACTGGGAAATACTAGATCGAAAGGCTCTAAGGCAGATCCGATTATCGCTCGCAAAATCAGTCACCCATAATATATGGAAGGAGAAGACGATGGTAGGGCTTATGGAAGCGCTCGCAAAGATTTACGAGCAACCGTCAGCTGCAAACAATGTGCAAAACCTCAAGATGGCAGAAGGATATTCATTCATGTTGTATCTCATCGAGTTTAACACTATTGTTGATCAACTAATCTCAGTTAACATCATGTTTGATGATAAAATGCAAGCCTTACTGATACTATCGCAGTTGTCGGATAGCTGTGCAGGTTGCGTTACCACAATTAGCAACTCAGCAAGAAAGGGGAAGTTAAAGCTGAGTGAGATTGTGAGTATGATTCTATCCGAGGAGGTTAGAAGAAAGTCAGCCAAATCAGAGGGTTCAGGTCCAACCCTAAATTTCGATCATAGAAACCAAAGTCAGAATAAGGGTAACTAGAACAGGAAGCGGTCGAAGTCAAAAAAGAAAAGGTCAAACTCGAAGATGAGACCTATCTGTTTCCGTCGAAAGTTACCTTGGTCATTGATTTCATTAAACTTTAAGCGTTACAAATGAATTCAAATAACAAAAGAATAAAAGATTACAACTTTCTTGAAAATAAACACAAGATCCGTTTATCGGCTCTTGCTTGCGTGGGTTCTTTGCCGGTGCCGGGGTTAATCCGTGGACGACCGCGAATCAGATCCGGTTGCAGGAAAATTCGGCAAAGCTTCGCCTTCGCCGGGGAAGTTTTCTGGTTTGAAGCGCTGAGATCGACAAAGCGAAATCAGGGCTCTTCTCAAGATTAAGACCACTGCCTTCGCTGAAATTCGTGCTCCTTGACTCCTCAATCCAGCAGCACCTCCACGTCTTGATAATAACTCTACCCTCGAAAATGGAGGCCTTTGACTCATATTTATAGGCCCCGGATGCGGTTATTTTGGATGAGAACAAGTGATTTGGCTCTATCTTCAGTTAACAACAGCCTAACCACGTTTGGAGATGATTTCAAGTCAGTTAGAAACCCCTGGAGCAGATAAATCCTGCGAAAACAGCATCAAAACCGTCAAAACGCGTTTCGGGATCGGGACTGCGCGGCGCGGGTCGGATCAGTCGACTAATCCGACCGGGTCGGACTGGTCCGTCCCGCACAATTGCGGGTCAGACCAATCCGACTTGCGCTTTCGCGGGTCGGACTGATCCGACCCGCGCTTGTGCGGGTCGGTTTGTTCTGTCCTGCGTTCGCGCAGTTTTGTCGACTTTTTTCCTTTTATGTTCTCTTTCTTCCGAGACTTGTTCTTTTCGTGTGTTTGGTCGATTTGTTGACTTGTATGCTTCGCCGCGAGACCGACCGTCGAACGCGCATTGCTTGTTGATCGATACGCGCGGACTGATCGGCGTGCGCGTGTTGACCGACGCGCACGAGCTGACCGACGCACACGAGATGATTTGACGTGCGCTGACTGATTGGCGAATTTCTTGACTCGCCTATTCATTGCTTCGAGTCTCGTGCGGGCTCTCATAGGCAATTTTAGATGCCTACAGATACCCCCTCCAAAGTGTTTCAGCCTCATTCTTTTAAAGAGGAGTCTGAAATGCTTTGGATATGATGGATCCCCACCTTCAGTCAGTGTTAAGGGACCTACAGATGATTTCGATTCTTGACTTCTCCATATCTTAGCATATTCTGTGTTTTATCGAATAGCTAAGATTTTCCTGGTACTGCGTTTATCGTCTGACCGTTATTGAAGCCTTGAACCGAATTTGGTGAATAGATTTTTGTTGATGTGTCATTGAGTTGACTTTTGGTGAGTAGACTTTCCGAATCGATCATCGTTGACTTTTATCGCAACGCGTTGACCAGCGTTGACCTAAGGCTACACGTTGACCGGCGTTGACCGTAGTGTTTTGAATCGATCGGCGTTGACTTTTTATCGCAACGCGTTGACCGGTGTTGACCTAGGGCTACGCGTTGACCGGCATTGACCTTAGGGTTTTGAATCGATCGGCGTTGACTTTTATCGCAACGCGTTGACCGGCGTTGACCTAGGACTACGCGTCGACCGGCGTTGACCTTAGGGTTTTGAATCGATCGGCGTTGGCTCTCATTGCAACACGTTGACCGGCGTTGACCTAGGGCTACGCGTTGACCGACATTAACCCTAGGGTTTCGCATTAACCTGAGGAGAACCAGTTTATACTCGTGTACTCCTGGGAGTTTCGGGAATCAGTTTAACCTCATGTACCCATCGGAGGTTACCAGGTTATCCTTAAGAATTATTATATGTAATATTCTCCAGGAACTTCCTGTCAAAATGGGAAACAGTTTAGACTCATGTACCCGTTGGAGTTTACGTAGAACCCGAATACCCTAAAAGTGAGCGGAATGTTTCAAAGTTATCTGGAAATATAAAATTGGCTCTCGAATGTTCCGATGATGGGAGAAAACGTCGTAGAACGATCGAAAATATGAACTCAGACTCCGAATATTCAAAAAACGGGCGAAAACAGGCGAAAACAGGCGAAAATACAGCAAAAACAGCCATCGGATCGGATCTGACCCGCGCGAACGCAGGTCAGATTGATCCGACCCGTGTGAGCGCGGGTCGGATTAATCCGACCCGCGAGCACGCGGGTCGGACACAAATCCGACCCGCGGAACGCGGGTCGCAGAGGGATGTAAAGGGGGAAAAATCCCCGACTTCTTTTGTTCTCTTCCTTCTTCAAGTTCGGTCCCAGCTGCTATCCCCTCAAATTTTTGGTTCCTTTTCTTGAGTTCCAGTTCTTTGAGAGCTCTTCTTCCTCAAGAGTTCTCAACCAATCAAAGTTCCTCCCCTTAAAACCCATCAGCTCCTCTTCTTCCCACTTGGATTCGAGCAAAGGAGAAAATTCCAATCTAGGGTTTCGGCCAATTGAACTCTTCTTCCCCTTCAACTCCAAGAACTTGGGTAAGTTCTCTCCTCATGACTTCTATTCCCTTGCTTTGATTTCAGTTAGTTCCTCATGCTTTGATTCAATGATTGAAACCCTAGTTCTTGGATTTGGGCAAAAAAAAACCGAAATTTGGTTGAGCTCTTGTGCAATGGCCGAATTTTTGGCTTTTGTTGTGTTCATGATTTGATAACTTCAACCCTAGATCTTTAATCTTGGAAGAAAACCAAAATTTGGGTATGGAATTTGAGAAATTGGCCGAATTTTTTGAATCTTTACTCTTGAACTTGTGTAGAGAACCGAATTTGATGGCAAAACTTTTTGTTGGCCGAATTTTTTTTCTTTTTTTTACTGTTCATGGCCGAAAATCTTACTGTTCATGGCTAAAAAAAACTTGACTGAACCTGTACATGGCCGAAAGGCTTTGTTGAGTTTTTGGGATTGATGGTTGGCTGAGAATTGGCTTGAATTTGCACTTGCATCATTGCATGGCCGAAGCCTTTAAATTCTTGGTTGATGTTTGATGAACTCAATCTGTGCATGGCCGAAGTCGGTTGAGATTGGTTGATGTTGGCCGAGATCTTTTGACCGATATTGATGCCTGAATGTGTGGTCGAACAGCTCTTCGAACCTGTATATGGCTGAAAATTCTTGTTGAGGTCTTTGAGCTATTCATGGATGAATTCGTTTATGTGCTTGAACTTTGTATATAATTCGAACTCGTATATAATTGAACTCGCGTATATGATTGAACTCAAACTTTGTATATAGACAAGCTCTTGTATATAATTGAATTTGTGCATGACTGAATTCTTGTATATGATTGCATTCTTGTATGGTCCGAACTTGTACATGATTGAACTCGTATGGCATTCTTGTATATGATTGAGCTTGTGAATCCACATGTTGACATGATCGAGGCCTTATATTTGACTCTGTGACACTTAACTTGAACCGAGAATGTCGTATAGGTTTAATTGGACCCTTAATTGGAAAATTCCATTTTGTAGAATTTTAATTAAAGATTCACAATTTCCCTTTTAGTCTTTGATTCATGTATCTTGATTCTTGATCTGACCAAGCTGTTGGTCTTTATTGCAGATTAGCTATGTCGATGAAGAGATCACGCCTCCCGAGGAGCCGCTCAGCCACTCAGTCACCTGAGAGGGAGCACTTGTCTTTTACTGGTAAGCCTTTGTAATTTTCTTTTATTTATGAACATGACTCCTTGCTTATGAATTCGATCTCCATTATGTCATGTCGCATATTGCATACCCTTTCTGTCCTCCTTGGTGAGGCAGTCGGGAAGAGCTGATACCCTCCTTTGTGGGGGTGGATGCTTCTATATTACATCCTTGCCCTGTTCTCCTTGGTGAGGCAGTTGGGAAGAGTTGATACCCTCCTTCGTGGGGGTGGACGCTTATCGGATATGTTTTGCTTGGTCAAAACGTGTCTTAAGGCTATATAAGGTGATTTTCTGCTGTATTACGTTCTGTAAGAT